TTCCCTTCTAATATCTTCTGTTTCCTTTCTTAGCTTATATGCTGTTGCTGAATTTGATTCCTGTGATCTTGCTAGTTCTGATTTAGTCTTCATAATGGTGTCATCCGGAGAACATTGAGCTGGAGAAAGTGAAGGTGGTGCACTACTGCGCCGCCGGGTCCGAGCCGTGGAGGTTCACTGGAATAGAACAGAACATGGACAGGGAAGATATCAAGATGTTGGTGAACAAATGGTGGGATATTTACATTGACGAGTCACTGGACTATAATAATTATGTGGCTTCCGGTGAGGATGAGGCGGTGAGCTGGCAACCGTTCCTGACGGCGCTGTCGGAGGCCGGCGTTGTAATTAAACCCCAGCGGACTGTCATAGAAGAGTCAGAAAGTAGTGCCAGAAATGATCACCTAGAGAAAAGGATGACTCAGCTACCGGAGAGGGTGCATCTTACCTTGACTCAAAATAACTTGCAGGAATTGAAAGATATATATCACGGTTGGTCTACCGAGCGCCGCCGCGAATTCGATCGAAAGTTTGGGCACATAGGACTCCTTCTATCTACTACAATAGATGAAGCAATGCTTAAGGCAGCAATCCACTTTTGGGATCCCAGGTACGGTGTCTTTGTATTTGGTGAAGTTGATATGACTCCTACTCTTGAAGAATATGCAGCCCTGCTTAGAATCGCAAGTGCAACATCAGGAAAAATATATAATAAGCATGATGCTTGCTATGGATTTAAGAGAAAATTAGCAAAGATCATGGGCATCCAGGTTCAAGAACTTGAAGGTTTGATTACAAAGAACGGGGAAAATGAACGAATACCATGGTATGGACTGCGAGACTTCATTCTTGGAAATCCTGACAACCCAGTTACTTTGAATGCCTTTGCTCTAGCAATCTATGGATTGGTATTGTTCCCAAAGGCTTTGGGATATGTTGATAGAAAAATTGTCAACCTGTTTGAGCAATTGTTGGACAACGCTAACCCTATCCCAGTTATACTGGCTGAAACTTTCCGGTCGTTGAATCACTGCAGAATCAATGGGCAAGGGAGGTTCACAGGATGTGCTCAATTGCTAACGATATGGCTGAAAAGCCATTTCGAGCGCCTCCACAGTGAATTCGAGGATCCTAATGTTGGAGATAGGTTCCCCATAGAAGAATTCAAGATGATGTCGAAACGTGCCTGGATGGACAAACTGCGAAGGTTGACTGCAACAAATGTGATATGGAAGGCCCCATGGATGGACCATCTCCCATTGCTCTACCGTTGTGGGAACTACCCATGGGTACCCTTGTTAGGCTTGTGGGGAGCAACTGCCTATGCGCCTGCTTTAGTTAGAAGACAGATTGGATCTTTACAATTCATGCCAGTGATATCCAAGCTTGACACATTTGGGTTTGAATATGGAATTCCAGGGACCACCGACCGCATTTTTTATGTATGTGAGGCCTGGAAAAACATCCATCGTGTGGCTGCTGGGGCATATACCGATATAACTAGCCCGGGATATCCCGAATGGCGAGCAAATCGGTTAAGGGACTTCGTTATCCCAGAGCCATTCGAGCCTGAAAGAAATGATGAAACGGATGAGCCGTCCGAGGAAAGGAAGATACAGTACGATGCGTAGCCATTTTAGTTTTTCAATTTTTAATTTTAAATACCTTGGGTCTTCAAATAATTTTAAGCACTTTTTCTTTTTGTTCAACTTTAAAAAAAATACTTCTTTCTCTAATTTCGTCAATTAAGAATGGCATGATCATTAATTCAATTTAAAATGGCACTTTTTTTATTATATGATAATAATACGTTGTTAAATTAATTTATAGTAGATTTAAGGAGTCCAAAATTATTTCTAATGAAACTCATTTATTATGGATATGTGATTAAAAAATTGAAGGAAGATAAATTTTTAAATGAGTTAATGGCCACATTACTACTTAATTGAAAGATGGATAAAAAAATAATATATTTTTTAAGATTGAAAAACTAAAAATTACTTTAAATAATTTAAAAATAAAAAAATATTTAAAATTTAAAATTTAAAACCCAAAAAGTGACATGTAACCTTTTTATTTTTTTTTTATTTTTTTATTTTTATTTTTTGACCAGGTAGATGGTTAGGAAGTTAGTAGAGTTAGTTTGTTAACTGTTGGAATTTTTCCAGGAAAGTGAACATTTCATCCCCTCATTTGAGGCGCGCAACGATTAAGTCGTAAGTTGGTGAAGTTCACGATGGTGGCAGAACTCGAAATCCTGACCTCCACTTCACCCAAACCCTAAAGTTTGAGGGCTAACCAATTGGGCCACAGGCTCGGTTGGCATGTAACCTTTTTATTAAACAAATAAAAAAAAAAAGTACATACCTTGATTAACTAGTCATGTCATCAAAAATTTACTATAAGAACTTAAAAAGGAGCCAAAAAAATAATAATAATAAAGAAAAGGACAAAAAAAAGGAACAAACCTGGCTGGTAGGGGGCTGTGCGCACTTCCCTGTTTTAACTAATTTTGAAAAATTTACTTTTATAGAAGTGAAAAGAAAAGGACAAAAAAAAGGAAAAGAAAAAGAGATTTCCATCTCTTTCCCGGCCGAGACCGTTGAATGCGGTTAGGAATAAAGCGTTCTGACAATGGACCTTATCTCACTTTGTTATTTCCCCTCCATTTTCCTTTTTTTTTTTTTAAAGTTTATATTGTCATTAACAAAATGACCGTATGGCACATCAATATTACGGGAATGCCATGAACAGTAATTTTTTAAATAAAAAAATATGGAATAAACTGCGTAATAAATCTTTTTCCTTAACTTCTACTGTCGGTGGAAATTATTAATTTATGAATTTTAAAAGAAAGAAAATTAAACGGGAATAGGGGTTTTTTTTGAAAATAGGTAATGAACGGGAATGGGTGTTGTTTGTTGGGTTGCCAGATATTTCAGTCCTCGGTAGAGGCCTATCTTCGCAGCAGGCAATTCTGCTCAAGAAGGCAGACGCAATCACGCAATCGCAACCACGTTTTCTTCTCTT